AATATGGTCCTTACATTAGAATATAAACCAAAATAAACGGAATACTGAGAGGTCATTGGTGATTCATCTCAGTCGACCACATTAGTTGTAAATGCTCTATGCCAGAGGTTACAAAAATATGCGGTTCATTCAAACCCTGTGAAGCTGAATGTCTGTAATATAGGGGGTGACACAAAACGGTGATCAGCAGCATAACACGTTACGAAAGGAAGGAAAAAAAAACAAAGGAAGACGTGGCAACACAGTAGACAATTTTGATCTGATCACCCGAGTATTTCTGTTTTCTTGTTATGTCCATGTAACATGTCACGCCATGTTTGGTAACAACTGTGTGTTTCAAGAATTGGTAACAAACGATTCACTAAACGTCGAAATTCTATAAAGGTAATTGGTGCAAAAAAGTGTTTAAATAAAACACAGAACTAAAGATAATTTCGTAAATCCCGATACATAAATACAATAAAACTAATTAAAACAAAGACCTGCAGGTAATGCTGCTGCTAAGGTATGGCACAAAATCAAATTGTCTCGAAAGAGTGTAGACTTTATGTACCACATTTCATTAAAATATGTTCAGCGACTGTCACTGACACACAGGCATGATAAGGTTACTACGAACATTTCATAGGGCATACATAAAGTAAAAGTAAAAGTAAAGGTATCCCTGTAACAGGCCGTGAAGACCCATAGGGCTGTGAGACGTTGAGGTTCCCACATTTTCTAGACAATGGGCTCATAGGTGGCGGCAAGGTTGTCAGCCTTACGCGCCGGCCTCCCTTTACTCCCAAGAATATTCCAAGAATATTCCAAGAATATTCCTGGTACTCATTTCTGTTAGAGGCTCAGTCGACCCCAGGGCCATAGTGCGGCTAGAAGGATTAGGTCAATTGAAAAAATCCAATGACTTCATCGGGAATTGAACCCGCGATCTTCCGGCTTGTAGCATAGTGCCTCAACCAACTACGCTACCGCGTTCCTCCTAAGGCACACATATTTTCCTAACACGACTTTTCATACTTCAATGACTTTCAAGTTCATTTCTTGGATATCTAAATCTATTATCACAAAGCCAAACCCACTTCAGATACACTGTAGTAATTCGGCAATGAAGTCTTCCTTTATGTCATTAAATATTCTACATATCCTATTCTATAATGGCTCTACGGCGCTTTGTCGGACCTTGGCCGCTCTTTCACTTCCTTAATCCATACACAACTGGTCGCAAGGCCGCTATCTACACACATGACAACACAAACACAATAAACGCACACACAGATATCCATGCCTTTAGTGGGGTTCGAACCCACGATCCTAGCGTCCGAGCGAGCGAAGACAGTCCATGCCTTACACCGCGCGGCCACTGTGATTTTCAGGATATCCGGAGACGTTTAAAATAAAAGAGCACATCCCGATGAACTCTAATTCTGACAGGTTTGGATTTTTTACGGCAACGAGCCTTTTTGAGAAAACTGATTTTGTTTATACAAGTTTCACGTAAAGCGGGGACATATACAGAACCGACAACTGCCAAAATTGAATTCGCTCGCAGTTCCGTATGTACAACGCCCCAGTACGAAATGTAATGGAAGTGCATTCAGTATTTCTTGAGATACGCACAGCAGAAGACAACATGTATAGTTTTAAAGCAAAACATGTTGCGGAATCAGTCTTGGTATCGGTTTCAAATTTGATGAGCTGTGCATCAGTCAAGGTTAAAGCAAAAACTGATGCCAGTGGTAGCCTGCAATCACTGGTCCGTGAAGACAGAAGTTATACGTGGTCAATCCCAAGTGGAGCAGCTGTCAGTCTTTCATAGTTCATGTCCTGCTTAAGTAATGAGACAGCATAAAATAAAAACGATCGTTTGCGCGCAGATGCCTCTGGAGCGTTTCTGTTCATTTACATCAGATTTGGACACGTGAAACTCCTCACTCTTGATTTAATTAAATGAAATAAAATCCCTATATTCCAAAGGCAAACATAATTTTTCCGAAAAAGAACAAAAATTAACATTAAAACTACTAGAAACATGCACTCCGACAGTACACACTTTTTCTTCTGCTTCTTATTTTTCCCTTGATGAATCAGACCCTCTGGCCTGTACCCATTCAGACTTAATCTTAAACTATGACTCATACAGACAGTTGGTAGGACTCCTTGGACGGGGGATGAGCCCGTCGCAAAGCCGCTACCTACACAGGACAACACAAACACATATAATGCAATAACTTTTAACATATTAACCACCTTCAATACAATAGTAGCCATCAATATTTTTAAATACAAATTCCTTGTATATTTCTGATATTTTGATAATAGTAATATTGCAGTTCTCGCAGTATTATAGAAGGCACAACTTTTATAACTTTTACAATATTGACGCTTTGCACCAAAATATGGATCCATATTGGGAGTTTAGTCAACCTCAGCCGTATTATATAATACTGCCTGATTATCGTCCCATGAGGACCGAAACCTGTAGGAGTAAGAAATACAATTCAATCTGAGAAATACTGATTGATTGAAAAAAAGAAAACATTTTTTGTTGTACTGACGGATACCTTAGCTAACCATACAGAAAAAATGCAGACATCCATCCATGCCTCGAGCGGGATACGAACCCACGATCCTACTGTTCGTGCATGGCCACTGTCATCGACCCAAGAGTACATGTTTCGTAAATACGTCTACTTCCGTATTTCAGACGGTCCTATAAATCTTACGTTGCCTGTTTACTTACTTGCGGTGTATTTAACTATACTGTCAGTAGTTCTGGCTACATAAAGTCGAATGACGGACAATCGGCTAATAATGGGGAAGGATGCTAATACAAGTGATTGTGGCCAGATTGTCAAATATTATTCCAGCAGCTGCGCAGGGACTGACGAAACACCCGAAAAAAGTCAGGGCAGCCGGTTTGTCAGCAGAGATAGAAATCTCTGTTATAACTTGCTAGACTCATATGCAAATAGTGATACGAGTTATCATCGAACTGGAAACTACACGCAGATTTCGTCTAACCTCCATCTTGCTGCTTTACATCCTACACAGGAATTACCTTAACAAAACTGCATAGTATTCCAAGGTCTCTTACGTATTTGTTCTGAACCTATACTCAGTGGCCCTAATTTCGCTCCCACCTCGCAAATTCCTACATTCGCCATGTTTCATTACCAACTGTAGGAAATTAAAATGTATTAGGTTAGGGTAGCCTCAAATGGCATGAAATTCACATGAGATGTCACGAAAAGCGGGGGCACACGGTAACATAGTTGGTTGAGGCACTATGCTACAGGCCGCAATATCGCGGGTTCGAGTCCGATAAGGTGGATTTTTTCAGTGGACCTAATCCTTCCAGTCGCAGTATGGCCCTGGGGTCGACTCAGCCTCTAACAGAAATGAGTACCACGACACTTCTTGGGGGGGCAAAGGGATGCCGATGTGTAAGGCTGACAACCTTACTGTCATCTGTGAGCCGATTGTCTACAGAAAATGTGGGAGCTCGACGTCTCACAACCTTATGGGCCTTCACGGCCTGTACAGGGATAGCTTCACTTTAGCTTTTCATAAAAACGGTGAACTGGTTCAAATGCTCAATGGGATACATATCTCATGGTTCCCTCATGAGGTTCCCTTTTTCCTCAAAGAAATGGACTGCAAGAACTGCACTATTCCATTTTAGGGGAAATTATGAGCTGTGATGTTAAGTAACATTCTGGTACTATATACTTAATGAAGTAATCGTGTTTTCCGACAATAGCAAGAGAAGCAAAGAATACTCAAATTCCCTGTGCACATATTTTTCAAATGCGTTCTCCGTGAATTTAAATTCTACCGACAATTCTAATTAACAGTACAGATATTACACAGCACAAATATGGAACACTTTCATTACACTTACTTACGTGCTGGTCATATCAAATTATATCTAGATACGAGTACAAGTTGTATTTCTCAATAAGAGCTGTGGTCCTGTTACGTGAAATAAATTTTGGTACGATGGGTTTGAGAAAATCAATAAAGTTCCATTTTTCTGTCACGTAAATTAAGGGTTACACTTGACCGACACAAATAAAAATCAAACTGGACAGACAACTTTTAGCGTAGGAATATTCCCTCACATTACATTTAATTGAAATACGTTCAGTAGGTTGGAATCTTAAGAATACTGTATCAAGCTGAACACTACCTCGAGTATTTTTTTATACGCGACGTTCTGGGAGTTCGTTCGAACGCTTGACACTAATGTTAAAGTAAAAACAGATCTGTAAGTATACCGACAACCATTCATCTGTAGGATTTGATGTTCTCACAACGGTGGTCACGAAGAGTACCATTTTCTGGGATATAACACCGTATAGCCCGTTGAAAGTCAACCGAAAATTTGGAGGAACATATCGCCTCCATCTTCAGGGTCGAAGAATAAGCCGACCAAGAAACTAGCGTGAAAGCAGGTGGCAAGCAAAGATTCTGAAGGAGGCGATACGTTCCTCCGAAACGTCGGGTGACTTTTAACGGATTACAAGGCAGCATGGCCGATTTCCGAAGTGTGTATATCAAACATACCTGGCAGCAATATCCAATGTAATATTTATATTATGAATATACAGTATATTTCCAGAGAATGAACAGGTTGAAAAGCATCCCCGTTATGCTTTCATTTTATGTATTTTTTTTATGCTAGTGGGGTGGGACTAAGTCCCTTGTAATGCGGCCACTTCTGGCCTGTTGTACCAGCCCAAGATGATCGGTGAGGGTGACTGTGGAGCAATTGGTGGAATGAAGATTGGCAGGGGAAACCGAAGTACTCGGAGAAAACCTGCCCCAGCGCCACTTTGTCCACCACAAATCCCACTTGACCAGACCCGGGATCGAACCCGGGACGCCGCGGTGGGAAACCAGCGACTAACCGCTTGAGCTATGGCGCGGCCTCTTCATTTTATGTAAGCGGCGTAAAGAACATGGCTCGAGCAACCTGTGAACAATAGCAGCGATCTTACCTTATAGCAGTAGTTGATGTAGACTCCCTTCAGATCATCATCTGTAGACAGTTCAGTGTTCGGACTATTAGGCGGCGATTTGGGGCTGAAACAAAGACAAGACAGTCCTTCTGTAAAATGTTGACAGCTCGACGATGTTGGATCTCTCTTGAAAGCATGATAGTCGCTCAGCTGATCAAGACATTCCACGCTTTTAAAGAAACAGAAAGTTCATTAACGTCCATCATTGGACCCTGTCCTATACAAGCTGCATCCAGCACCCTATTTTATTAAGGCTGATTCTCCATTTCAATATTATTCAGCCAGCTACATTATGTGGTCCCTTCCATTGAGGTCTTCCAACCACAATCTCGTATGCATTTCTCATCTCCCAATCGCGTGCTACATGTATTATCATCATCCTTTATTTAATTATCTTAATAACTAAAAGAAGGGTACAAATTATGAAGCTCCTCAATGTGTAATTATAGAATCCTCCTTCTGTTTCCCCTTACATTTTTTCCATATAGTCTCCTTAGCTTTTTGTTGTCAAGTTGTTTCCATCGCGGTAGCGTAGTTGGTTGAAGCACTATGTTACAAGCCGGAAGGTTGCGGGTTAGAGTCCCGATGAAGTGGATCTTTTTTCTTCAATTTACCTAATCGTTTCAGCCGCACTATGGCCCTGGGGTCGACTCAGTCTCTAACAGAAATGAGTACCAGGAATCTTCCTGGGGGTAAAGGACGGCAGGTGCGTAAGGTTGAACTCACCGCCATTTGTGAGCCAACTGTCTAGAGAAAATGTAAGAGCTTCGACGTCTCATGACTCTATGGGCCTTAACGGCCTGTTACGGGGATAGCTTTACATCTTAACCTTACCTTCACTATAAAGCAAATTTTAGAATTATAGCCGATAAAATTAAACCTGTTTCGAAGGAACTGAACGCGTGGGTGGGCCTGTATTGCACGGAAGCAGACGTTAGTGGTCTGCTCTTCGGAACATTAGGCAGGTGTCCATCCGCCTACCGGATATAGGCCCTGAATGTAGAGCTTGCTATAAAAAGAATGCCGAAAACGAACTGAAGGTCACTGCAGTACAGCTTCCAGAAAAATAAAAGGCAACAGTGAGAAGCGCACTCCAACAGGCTACATATACGAGTACATTCCAGAAGAGTTCCTTGATATTTTGCTTGCCTCACTGTTCTTCATGTCCGTTTACTGCCCACACAAACTTCTTTCAGATTTGAGGTTTTTTTTAATGAAGATTTGGATTGTGATATTCGAAATGCGATATTTGAGAACCGTCGCTGACATCTCATTGGAGCTAACGTCTATTGTGAAGCTAAATGCATCTGATACCTCCAAAACGTCGGTACACCAAATTTGTTATTGCGAAGCCACAGCGACGGGATACGGTTGCCAAGGGTCACAATTGCTGTTCTCTCTTATTCCGTTAAACAGTCATCACTCATCACTCATGGAGATGATTCCTTCTTGAGAAGCTGCCAATTGTGCAGCTACCAAGAACCTCCCAGCATTTTATGGAACCCGAAGGTTCATTACCGTGTTCACAAGAGTCCTCCGCCGGTCCCTGAGCCAAATCTCTGTGGTCTAGTGGTCAGAATTCCTGCCTACATATCCAGAGGTCCCGGGTTCGATTCCCGGCTCTACCAGATTTTCTGAAAAGTAATGGGTATGGAACGGGGTTCACTTAGCCTCGTGAGGATAATTCAGGAGCTATTTCAAGGAAATAGTGGCTCCGGTCTAGAAAACCGAGATTAACGGCCGTGAAGAACCGTTGCGCTGACCACGTGACACCCTCTATCCGCAAAAGTTGGCATTAACTTCGCTGACAAACGGCGGTCGTTCAGCCGGTATAGTTCGCTTGCGGACTACAGGCCAGGGAGTTTGTTTTGTTTGTTTTTTATATATGAGAACTGCTGCTGATATTTCATTGCAGCTGAACGTCTATTATGAAGATACAGGCATTTGATAACTCCAAAACGTCGGTACAGCAAATCTGTTGTTGCGAAGCCAGCCAAGGGATACTGTTGCCAAGGGTCAAAACTGCTGTTCCCTTTCATTCCGTTACATAGTCACCATACTGAAAAATGTACCACATGTTGAACGTCACAATGACATGCGTCTTCAATTGTACATTCTTCATGTAGAACGAGCAGTTAAGCTAACCCAAAAGTTATATCTAAGCTTTATGTAAACTGGATGATGGCAACTGAAAAAGACTTCCAGTTTAGATCCCTAACGTCAACTGAATTTAAATCCGTTTAGATTATTCGGATATTAAACACAATGACAGAGGGACCGACTGGAGGATATCACGCGTTCGTTTTATGCAGTTCGTGTTACAAAACGAGTAAAGAGGACCCATCTCCTGATGCTATATCTGTTGAAGACGTTATTCAGCTTCCATCGTGCAAAACTGTCTGCGAAAGTTTTGGGCGGAAGCAAATGCTGACAAAAGCAACACTTCCTTTCAGTTGAACAAATTTTATATCGCTTCTGTCTTATCTGGTATTGTACATGTATAACCTAACAATGATATGCAATTCAGTTCCTGGGTTAGCGCCCTGGACCATGTACATATACGATCAAATCCTAGTCGAGTCAGATCGTCATTATCATGCTATCCGTGTTGAGGCGGGTTAGAATACCTCCACCGTAACCCTGCGAATCGTACAAGGCGATGAAAAGGGAACCCGTTACCTTGGGGCATAACTGGGCCACCGTGTCACTGATGGACATAAATACAAAGACCTGGTCCTCCAGGTTGGCGGTTGGACAAAAAGCTGACAAACTAGTTCTGTAAAACAATCACAACAAACTCTACAGCTTTAGTCCGCAAGCGAACTATACCGACCGAGCGACCGCCGCTTGTCGGCGAAGTTAGTGACAACTTTAGCGGATAGATGGTGTCGCGTGGTCAGCGCAACGAATCCCCACGGCGGTTATTTTCGGTTTTCTAGACCGGGGCCGCTACTCTTCCATTCAAGTAGCTCCTCAATTATCCTCACGAGGCTGAGTGGACCCCGTTCCAGACCCACTACTTCTCAGAAAATCTGGTAGCACCGTGAATCGAACCCGGGACCTCAGGATCTGTAGCCAGGGATTCTGACCACTAGACCACAGAGGCGGTCTGTAAAACAGTTACTGTTACGAAATCGAAAGAAATCAAAACCAGATTGTCTAATACGTGATATAAAGCCAGGAATGGACAGATCTGGCAATCTTCTAAGGAAGGCTATGGCTCAGAAAAGGATGTTTTGCCTATTATTATTGTTATTATTATGTTTGTGGTAAGAATTTATTGCCTATATACCGATTTCAACTAAGTTAAATCTGTCGGACGTAACTTCATATTTTCCATCGTCGTCATCATTGTTGACTTACAGGTCCAAATAACATTGCATACAGTATTTGCAGGTGCCTTTATGAAAATCTCCACTCAAGACTTCACATGCCTAGCAAAAAACTTGTAGCTACAGATTGATCCCTCCAACAAAACGCTGGGGCTACACATTAACTGTTTAAATGGCGATGTTCAATGATAAAGTCATTACTTTATGTATATGTACGCGCATGCAGCATGATGAAATTTTATGGGAAATTCCTAGAGACAATCTTTATCAAAAATACTTGACCGCAGTATCTTCAAAGACTGCAATGACAACTTCATTTGCACTAAGATATGCGCTACGCGGCGCTGCTATCTACAGAAAATGATTTCGCCGAAATTTATCTATAAAAACAAATTTTGTCAACAATACCTTGCCTCTGTTTTCTCTTCAACTGACAATACATCATAATTGCCACTGCTTAGTTCAACACTAAACAATAATATATGTTCTAGTTACATACAGTGTAACCAGTCATAACAGTCGTCGGTTGAGTGATTTGACTCTTAAGACACAAAATAAATATGGACATACTCTTCATAAATTTCATTAACACATACGTGTATTATTTCGTCATTACCACCAGAGACCTCACTCTTCCTCATTTTTTTTTCCTTGGCACTACAGCCCCAGTGGGCCTAGGCCTACCTCCATGAACTTCTCCGATTCACTTCGGTTTTTCTAGATCTTACACATACGGCAGGACTCCTTGGGCGGTTGATAAGCTCGTCGCAAGGCCTCTACCCGTACACGAACACAGAAAAACGCACACAAACATCCATGCCCTGGAGAAACAAAGTTTCACACCCATATAGAACCACAGGCAAAATTATAGTTTTGTATATTCTAATTTTTATGTTTTTGGATAGCAGACGAGAAGACAAAATGTTCCGCACTGAATGGTAGCAAGCATTACCCGAGTTCAATCTCCTCTTAATTTCCTCCTGAATCAGGTTTTGATTTGTTATCGTCGTTCCCAAATACCTGAACTGTGCCACATTTTCAAAACATCTGTTTCCTGTCTTTATGTCATGATTTTGCCCTGCATTTTGGTGACAAGACAGTAACATATACTTAGTTTTCTCTGTGTTTACTTCTAGACCAACCTCTTTACTTGCGTCAATTAAAGTTTGTGTGTATTTCTTTATGGTATCTACATTCTCACCCAGTAGATTCACATCATCGGCAGTGTAGACCAACAGCTGATGTGTCCCGTTTAATTTCAGTTCCACCTCGTTTTCCTGGACCTTCCTAATGGCACATTCTAGAGCAAAGTTGAAAAGGAGTGGCGATAAAGCATCTCCTTGTTTTAAACCATTCTGGATAGGAAATTTATCAGGAAAATGTTTACTATACGTTTCGTTTAAACAAATTTTAATCAGCTTAAATAGTTTCATGGGTATCCCAAACTCTATCAGAATATTGTACAATACTTCCCTCTTAATTTAATAAAAGGCTTTCCTGAAGTTTATGAATAGCTGATGTACTGTCTCATTGTACTCCAATTTTTTCTCAAATATCTAACGAATGCAAAAGATCTGATCTGCAGTTGATCTGTAACGTCGAAACACACACTGATGATCCCCAATAATTCCATCTATATATGGACTTAACCTTGAAAGAAGAATATTGGATAAAATTTTGCATGACGTTGATAGCAGTGATATCCCCCGATAATTACTACAGTCATTTTTAT